AAAAAAAAAAAAAATTTAAAAAAAGCTTTCCTTGGGTTGGGGCTGGGGCTCAGCGGTAGCACATTTGCCTAGCATGTGTGAGGCACTGGGTTCGATTCTCAGCACCACATATAAATAAAGGTCTATCAACAACTAAAAAATAAAACTAAAAAAAAAAAAGCTTTCCTACTCAAATGTATCTCACATGCAGATATTTAAATATTTACATATTAATTACAATCTACTTGTATTGCAATAATCATTAGCATTTTTTCTTGCAATTAAACTAATTTTATGTGTACCTACCTCTTTGAATCATTATCTAATAATTTCAATAACAACGAATTTTATAATGCCTGGTACTTAGAAAATAAAGTGGCCAAAAAATAATAACAAGCTAGTTGCTAAATGTACAATTAGTGGCTAAGGTACAATTTCTATTTTCCATAACAATTTCTTGATGTAACCTAATGAACAAGAGTTAAAGATATCTCAGGTTACTTCCTATCCCACACGGCAACAGGACCCACCTTAGTGACAACACGTAGACTAAACAGAGCCAGTGAGGACGGTTTAGCTCTTACAGAATAAGATTTATTAAAATAAAGATTTAAAAGATATTTGAATCTTTAATTCAATATCTAGATATTTCATTGAGCTGTTTCGCCATCCCCCAAATTGAGTTATCTGTCTGCCAACACATACATTTTCAAATATATTCTTAATATTTTCTMTAAGAAAAGGAGTATACTATAAGTAGAATTCAAAATATGGATGTCATGTTCCATATGGTTAACATTTTTTCTATAAAAAAAGGCAAAATATTACTTCAATAATGTATTTAGCACTGTGATGAGCCTGACAGCACTGCAAGTCCACAATTCTTTGCAGCCTGCTGACCAGTATAGGCTGGCAGGACTGCTGCTAGCATGGTCAAGTAAGCCCCATCCCATAACATATAATACCCCTGTCAAGCAACTGTCACCAGGAACACGTCTGTGTCCTGTGGCTTAGTGCCCATTAGTGCTCATTCCCACAGCCTCAAGGATTTCAGCAACTCAGTCTCCACCCACACTAGAGGACTTCCTGACACATTGAACACAAACCCTCAGCCTTCTCAATCCAGTGTTCCCTGAAGGGAGCTGAGAACAGGCAATTACCAAACAGCCATTGCACTTCGAAGACTGCAAATCAGGATCAAGCTCATTCAGGCCACATCTTCTTGTCCTATCACTTTTCCCAGGGAACAGAAAAAGGGCTGGCCTGACCCTCACCTGTCCAGAGAGAGACTTTGCCAGGTCTTAGCTATAGTAGCAGGAACACCAACCTTTTTTGAAGAAGGCGCCTTTCAGACCAGAGGAAAAATACTACCTCCAAGCCACACTTGTGGGGAACTCATGCCTCTGAGATATACCCGACAGCCATCAAACTGGTAGTAATCAGTAGCCCACCACAATCTACTCAGTTCACAATGCTGAGGGCCTCAGTCCCACAGAAGCTCCCCACCCATGCTTTCACAACCAGTTATATAAGGGTTCAGGCTCTTCCCCGACAGACAAACAGCCATAAAATATGCCACAATCACTACAAATTCATGTGTATTGAGTTTCCTTTGCTGATTACTAGCAATTGCTAGCAAAGCCTGGCTGACTTTTCTCATATCTTAAGTCCTCATCTGTATCCTAATCCCCTGCTAACTCAAGTAACCCCACAGTTCCAATAAGAACACAATAAAAGTCATCTCCATCAACACTTCATTCTTCCTGCCCTCTTCCAACTGCCAAAGTCCCTATCTCCTTTATTCTTCATAGACCTGGCAACAGGTGCACTTTCAAGGATAACAACCTTCCTTGAGGCTTCCAGTATCAGCACAGTAAGAACTCTCAAACTTACATGTCCAGATCTGACAAAATTGTATCAGACCAACCCTCCTGCTTTAGTTTTATATTTTAATACAAGACAGATATTTTAAAAGAAAATCAATAACATTTTTAGACAAGAAACATCTTTAAAGATTGAAGGTTTGTCGCAACAAAGGTATAAATACAAAGGAAAAGTTCTTGAAGAAAATTAAAAGAGCTGCTCCAATGCATACATAAATAATAAGAAAGTGAAACAGGCTAACTGCTGTCGTAAAGAAAGTTCTAGTGGTCTGAACAGAAGAGCAGAACAGCCACAGCTAAATTCAAAGCAAGGTTCCATCTCCCTTCAACTCCATGAAGGCTGAGAGGTGAGGTAAATGCAGAAGAAAAGTTTGAAGCCAAGAGAACAGAGGTTGGTTCACCTGTTTAAGGTAAAGTCTCTGTAATATAAAAATACAAGGTGAAGCAGCAAGTACTTGGCAGAAGCTACAAGTATTTCAGAAGACAAACGATGATGGTATCTACACTAACAAGATGCTCAATGTGGATATAATATAGTCTTCCATTGGAAAAAGATGCTAGCTAGGTCTGTCACAACTGGAGAGGAAAAATTAGTGCTCTTCATGGTGACTTCCCTGAAGGGAGCTGAGAACAGGCAATTACCTGTTTCAAAGCTTCAAAGTACAGGCTGATTCTCTTGATATGGACTAATGCAGCCAATGTTCATATGTCATTCCAAAAAATCATTCATATATCATTCCAAAAAATCCTAGGGCCCCTAAGAATTATACTAAACCTACTCTGCCTGAGCTCTATAAATTTTAAAAGTTGACATCACTGCAGATCCCACACATTCAACAGATCACAGGAAAAGACCATGAATAAATTCATTCAAAAGCTGGAATAAAGATTGCTGGTCTTTCAATGGAAATTCATCCAGTGTTTTCATTTTTTTTTTTTTTTTTTTTTTTTTTTAGTACTGGGGATTGAACCCAGGGGTGCTCAACCACCAAGCTATATCCCCATCATAACTGACACAAGAAAAACAAATAAAAAAATAACTGAGGTCCCAAATCTATTTAAAAAATTGACCCTACAACTAAGTATGTACCCACAAAGACCACTCCGGGTATCTTGTAATAATGGCCACTTAACTAGAAAATGCTTTCAACAAGTCACAGAGACTTCTTATTAATTAGTATCCCACCATCAGCAATTTTTAAAACATTGGTTAACTATGAAATTCTTTCTTTACATGAAAGCCTATGATATACAACAACTACAAGGATAGTTATGATCTGATTGAAAGCTAAATAGGGAGTTAAAGCTAAATCTTGCTCTTCTCCTTTCTCTATGCTGCCAATTTCCTACAGTTCCACAAAACAGTGAGTATCACCTCGCAAGCTGACCCAGAAATCAAATCGGCAATAGGAACATCTTTGTGCAAACTTGCAAAAGAATGATGAAAAGCATGAAAAACAAAACCTGTCTTTAAGAATATTCACCTTCCTTTTATGGACAATAGAAGGGCTGAAGAAGACTCTGTGACGAGCATGATGCACTGGACAGGCTCTGCTCTAGTCAGAGGGCCTCACTTAGCTCTTGTAGCTCTTGCTTCCTGCTTCTGGTGGCGGGAGAAAAAGGTGTCTGAGATGCACAGAGCTCTTTCACCTGCCAGAGTTTACTCAAAGGCAAACCACACCAGTTTATCTTAACACCAGGAAACTTGTCTGAAATAGGAGTTTTCGTCTTAATATCTTGCTRGCTAAACCTACAGAAGAGTCTTATTCCAAGTCAAAGCACTAAAGCTGAATAATACACATAATTACAGTGCTATTAAGCTGCATGTTATAGGTCCATCTCCATCTTTTTGGATAAGAAAGGAATGCCATTTATAAATGTTGATACTGTGACCAGAATTAATTCCRCCATGCGTTAATTACAAAGCCACTAATTTCCCCCAGCTTTTAACTATTTAAATGTCTTATAAAATAATGAACTTGGTTTTCCCTGACTTTCTGATTAGCACTGTTTRGTCTGACTAATGTTCTAAGTACTCTCTGTGACAACCCAGTGTCTTTGGTTTTTACAGAGACTTATCAATACATCTTGCAGTTATACTAGCTGGTAAGCTCATAAGCATGACAAACCTGGAACAGAGGAACTTCCATCCACCGCAGACAAACCACTCCAGACCACTTTTCCTTCGCTCTATCCTGGCTCGCGGCAGCGTGTGGTAATCACTTTCATCATTCTCAAAGCCTTCTTCAGACATCATTAGTGGCATCTCGTCCAAATGGGCAGACTCATCCTCCAGCTGGTACCTATTTAAAGGCAGGAACAGAGAGCTGAGCAGACCAAGCATTCTTCTGTAACATCGTGGGATTCGTTTACAGCAACCGCTAACTACTACTTGCTGGTTATCATTTCTTCAAATGGAACTGCTTTCATAAACAGCAGTGCAGAAAACCAAGCTGCCCAGGTAAACAGGCAACCAGTCTGCACCAGGAAGCCAGGGCTGGCTGAGAGGCCAACAATACCCATGCCACAGTCCCAGACACCTCCACATGCATGGCTGGATGACAGCTCTGCAGGACTGCCCAACATTCACTCACTGCATTCAAGTCAGGAATAGTAAAAGTAATCATCCAAATATGGCCATCAGCCAAAAACTTAAGGCTACAAGTAACAGCTAAACCCTCAGTCACACATTAGTTACCAGAGTTCCTGAAGTGATTTTTGACAAAGTATAGTTGTCTATAGACTGAAAGTTCTCACRCCATCCTTGAGTTTGTTTCAGAATTGATGTACTGACACACACACAGGGAACAGTGCTATGTCCTATTTATTCTGTCTTCATCAGTGCCTTTACTAAAATGTTCTACTCAAGGAAAAAAATATCAACAAGTAGAATATGTTTTAGAGGGCAAAAGATCTCTTCCCATCCCAAGAAACAGCAGCCCACCATCCACACTGTCACTTTGGCTTTCCTCAATCACAAAAATAATCTCTTTATAAAATAAAAATTCACCTTTTTTGAGAACAGTGTCAGAAACCATAATGGCAATTCAATAATTGCTACCTTAATTTTACATGGAGCTCACATGCTATGTATCATCTCAATTTTAAAATTAAGAAAACAGCCAGGTGAGGTGGCATATGCCTGTAATCCCAGCAGCTAAGGAGGCTGAGACAGGAGGATCAAGTTTAAAGCCAGCCTCAACAACTTAGCAAGACCCTAAGCAACTCAGTGAGACCCTGTCTCTAAATAAAATACAAAAAAGGGCTGGGGATGTGCCTCAGTGGTTGAATATCCCTGGGTTCAATCCCCAATATAAAAAAAAAAAAAAGAAAATTAAGAAAACAAAACTTCTGAGATGGGTGTGTGACAATGGTAGTCACTGAAATTGAAATCTCTCCTCACAATCTCCAAAATCCATTTTCTGTTTTTGTTTTTATTGGTTTTTACTGCATTACTAGAGACTCAACTGAGGGGCACTCTACCACTGAATTACATCCCAAGTAGTTCCAAAGTTCTTTTCATTTTGTTTTCAAGAGAGGGTCTCACTAAACTGCCCAAGCTGGCCTTGAACTTGTAATCATCCTGCCTCAGCCTTCTGAGTTACTAGGATTACAGTCATGTGCCACTGCTCTCAGCTAAGTAGCCATAAAAAGAACCAGCTAGAACCTATAACAAAAACATAACTAAGAGAATATTGAAATCCTTAACATACACGTAAGGAGTAAGATGAGTATTTCAAACCAACAGAGCCAGGGACATCCATTCAAATGCATGGGGGCATCTCTCTGGTGGAGGATCATCAGAGGCCCAAAAGACAGAGGAACTAATGTTCTTTGTTTTTTGGTTGTTTTTTTTTTTTTTGGGGGGGGGGGTTAATATTTATCTGTTAGTTGTAGTTGGACACAATACCTTTATTTTGCACAAGCAAGCGCTCTACTGCTGAGCCACAACCCCAGCCCCCAGGGGAACAGAAAGAAAGGAGCTGCCAACCTAGAATGCTACATCCTACAAGACAGTGACATTCTCAGATAAGGGAAAACAGAAAGTTTGTTTTCAGCAGCAGATCTGCCCTAAAAAATGCCAAAGCAAGTCTCAGGATGAAGAAAATATAATATCAGAAGGAACCCAGAACTCCAGGAAAAAAAAAAAGAGCAACAGAAAGGTCTTTTAAGACAAGAATAACTATTCAAAACAAGAAGTATATCAATCATTGTTTTCAATGTGAAGAGGCTGGAATACAAGTGACCATACAACATAAGGAGCAGGCACTCCACAGTTCATATGAAGTGGTAGGATGGTAAGCTGAGCAGAGAGTGGAGAGTCAGCCACCTACACTGCAACTCATGCCACAGAATTTTTTACTGTGGGGGTCTGCCCCGTGCATGCAGAATGTTGAACAGAATCACTGCCTTGGCAGGACAATGAAAAATGTCTCTGGAGTACAAAAATCACCACCTACTGGAAGTACTTAACTATAACACAATATGTATCAAAAGATCTTAGAGAATAAAAGGATAGAAAACAATGTGTGATGCAAACACTAATAGAAAACTAAATAGCCATATTAACATAAAAAAAAACTTGCCAGAATGAAGGAAGACATCACAGATGATAAAAGAATTAAATCACTAACAAGATCTAGCAATTATACATGTATATGCACCTAGCCAGGCCCAAAGCTTCAAAGCACATGAAGCAATGCTAATACAAATGGAAGGGAAATCCAGTGGTACTTAAAGACTAAAACTCTTCTCTCAATAACTGACTGGAAARAGAAAAATCAGAAAGGATGTAAAGGTACAACCCACATCAGCAACTAACCTAACCGGCATTTATAGGAAACACTACCCATAACAGCATAATACTGTTCTCTTCAAATACACAAAGAAATCACTCACCCACAGATCCTATCCTGGGTCAGAACACCAACCCTAACAGATAACTAAAATCACATAAAATGGGCTCTGTCATCACAATGGATTTTAATCATTATTAATTGAAAGATTTTTCTGAAATCCATATATACTTTGGGGGGGGGGGCGAGGACTACATTTACAAATAAGCTGTAAGCCAAAGAGGAAAAAACAAATCCTCACACTCAAAGCAAAAAAGGGCAAGTTCCTTCATRACATCAAATTTGGGGAGAATAGGCTCCTTACTCAAACCAAGGACCAAAACCAAAACAACAATTCCTGAGGGCCAGGGAAAATGGACACAACTGACAAGAACTGAAAAATTTACTGAGTACTGAACACGGCCAGATAGCAGGCCAAACACTTCAGATGCCTGAAGAAAAATAATTTTAAAGCAAATCAGACATTGGGGGAAATACTTGCAGCATAAGAAAAAAAAAAAAAAAAAAAAGCAATTGACAGCAAGGCCCTCTCCTCTAAAGCTCCAATCCTGCAGGGTAACAGGAAGTACACAGTCAGTCAATTACAGAGAAAAATACTAGAACAACAGGCAGGGTGGCATGAATGGAAGTGACTGGAAAGGTCTTCCTTGGATCACCTAGGAGGTCCTCCTAAGAGGTAACACCTATGGAGAGCAGCCATCCACTAAAGATCTAGGAAGACCAGTGAGGACTGCAGAGACCTTGGGCAGAAGGACAGCAGCTAAAGAGATGGGCAGGACCAGGMACACAGTGCTAGAAAGGTACCAAGAGTTTCAGTATTGTTTCAGGCATAATGGGAAGCCATTAAAAGGTCTCATGTGTAGAAATAATTTGTTTCCAAAAAGGTCTTTTAAGTAATATAAATTCAAACAAGAAGGGATAATATTTTGACTGTCAAGTGGGGAAAAAAATTGGGGGGTACTGAGACTAGAACCCAGGTATTCATCCTAAACAGGTGTTCTACCACCCTTTTTATTAATTATTTTTACTTTGGGAAAAGGTCTTGCTAAAGTGCCCAGGATAACCTTGAACATGCAATCCTCACGCCTCAGCCTTCGAGTCGCTGGGATTACCAGTGTGTCCCATAGTGTCTGCCTGGAAGGACACCCACAGTAGCAGCAAGAGCAGTGAACAATTTGTGAAGCAGCATCACAAGCCAACTAGAGGTTCTAATTGCCCATGGAAATTAAATGTGCACAAGATGTATCTTCAAAGATGATCATCCCCATACCATGCTGCTTGAAAGAGTAACCAAGGAAAAGGAAAAAGCATTAATGTTTAAAGAACTGGTTAAGTATACGATGGAACACCATACTGTCACTAAAAATGATAGAAGAACTTCTGTTCGACCTAACTATGCTAAGAGAAATAGTAGTCACTTGTTTTCACCCTCTTTGAACATTCTAATTCACCAATAAAAATGCTATTCTTGGGGCTCAGTAGTAGAGCTCTTGCCCAACACATGTAAGGTACTAGGTTCGGGGCTTAGCACCACATAAAAATAAAAGCATTGTGTCCATCTACAACTAAAAAAAATATTAAAAAAGAGAAGAAAATGCTACTCATTTTTTTGTCTCCATACCATCTTCCACCAACAACTCCAACTACTCTAGATACCATCAGAGAATATCCTTACAACATGCAAATGACATTTTAGATTATCCAGGCAAAAATTACATGATCTGTGAAGACGTGAGCCCAAAATAAACTGTTTCCTTTATGTAACTTCTTATGTAACTTCTCTGCATAGGATTACAACATTTAAAGTCATTCGGGAGGCTGAGGCAGGAGGATCATGAGTTCAAAGCCAGCCTCAGCAAAAGTGAGTTGCTAAGCAACTCAGTGAGACCCTAAATAAAAATACAAAATAGGACTGGGAATGCGGCTCAGTGGTTGRGTGTCCCTAAGTTCAAACCCCAGTACCAAAAAAAAAGGCAYCTAGAAAATGAATACTGATACAAAAATGTGAAAAATTTCAAACACCACTTAAATATATTATAACATTATATCCAAAATCAGATTTTTAAGTCTTTTCATTAAGTTTTCTGGGCAATCATGTCACATTTTAGCATAAGTCACAATCTCACCACATTTAACGCTGGAAAAGCAGAGTGATGTGTTCTGGAAGATAAAGAATATGAGCAACATCATGTTTAGCAACCTCAACTATAGAAACGCAGCCTTTGAACTGCAAGCAATTTATTCCATTTTCAAAGCAATTTTCCTATTGTATTGAAAATTTCACCTCAGTATTTAAACACAATAAGATGATGAATAATGGATTTCTTCAAGACAGAGTAAGCAGAGAATCTTAAGTGTCTTTTGTTGCCTGGTGTCATACACACTTAATTGGTTTGTCACTCAAGAAAAATCAACGTTTCCAGCAATTAAGTATAATTCTGGAAACA